CTTATATACTAAAAAAGAGGGCGTCTAGCAAATACTGGAATATTCGTGAGATTCCCCGATAAGTCATGATCCTTCTAGATACTCCAACGCGCATGCTCCCAGCATCGCGTGACTTCCGCTGTCGTAACAATATATTGTTTGTTTGTTTGTTGTGGATTTCGCGCAAAGCTACACGAGGGCTATCTGCGCTAGCCGTCCCTAATTTAGCGGTGTAAGACTAGAGGGAAGGCAGCTAGTCATCACCATCCACCGCCAACTCTTGGGCTACTCTTTACCAACGAATAGTGGGATTGACCGTCACATTATAACGCCTCCACGGCTGAAAGGGCGAGCATGTTTGGTGGGATGGGGATGCGAACCCGCGACCCGCAGATTGCGAGTTTAGCACCTTAACCACCTGGCCATGCCGGGCCAAGAAGTTTATTGAATATGTTAATTATTCAAATTAATTATATATTTTTATACTTACTCTCAATGCACGCCTGCACAATTTTTCATTCCAAACTATTGCGGAAATAAATTTCATCATTGTAATAATATTCGCCTTGCTAATTTCTTCGATAACTTCTTCGTTCCAGTGATGTTGAAACATATTTTCACATATTAATCGCAATCGCTCAATTTTTTGTACAAGTTTATAAGTCTCTAACAAACTTAACAAATATTCAAACAAATTTTTCCAACCTTCGCATCTGTCTATAATCGTAGCGTGAACCGTTGTCCTAAAGAGGGTGTCCTTTAAACCTAAAATCAGTCCTGCTATTTCACTCCCTGGACCTCCTCCTATCGAACAAATTTTCAAAGTTTCATTGCAGTTGCGAAGCCAGTCGTTGAAGAATATTGAATTACTGTAAAAGGAATTAAAGAAATTTTCAACTATTTCAGTGTGAGCCATGGCATACATATACAAATACGCTATGCGATTTCGAACGTCATCGAAATCAACAGTCGTTTCTCCAGTTTTAAGGGAATCTGGTTGATATGCAGATCTTACATTTGTTATTCCTTTAAAAATCTCATACGATAGATGTAAAGGCGTAGTTATTCCAGCGGCTTGTAAGGTCTGACATTCACGTTCTGCAACGAGCGGGTACATACTATAGATTATGCTGCTCATGGTAGTTCTCTATCTTATCAAACCACTAAATAACAAGTTGTTGGAAGAACTATCTACATCATATGCAAATAGGTAAGTCGATTGTTGAAGGGGTCTGTATGGTAGCACTATTTGTACTTCGAAATTCATCAATTCTTATCTGTTTAACTAGTGTGTACAGGAAGTGCGATATGTGTATGCGTGTACGTTGAGTCAGCATTAGGTTGATAGCGTATAGAAAGCTTCGTTTGATACCCAATCCCGTTGGTTAGGTTCCGTGTGCTATCGTGTACATGGTTAGGTTTTGGTTTTGAAATTGATTTGGAGGTTTCGGTTTTGAAATTGATTTGGTTGTTGATTACAATGTTTTTGTCTTTTGTTTGCACTTAATTAATTTCAAGGACAATAACAATGAATAATCAGTCCCATGTAATTGTATATAAAATAAATTTTCTGGGCGAAATACTTATCTATATACAATAGGTGATTTTAATATCACTGAGGGGCAACAAGTGAGTCTTATGTTTGAGTAGGCTATTCCATCATGTATGAGTAGTTGAACAGTTGGGAAGAATCAATTCTGCATACACCCACTTTCGCTCTCTCTCTCCACATACACAGGTCTTGCATGGAAACAAAGAAAGCAGAATCATGGTCGTTCTAAGAAGAGGTTCAAAGATAGTACCAAGCAAAGATTTCAGTGCACGACTGCACCTCAACCTCTAGCGCAGTACACCCAGGACAAATCCCACCAGCGTGTTTTGACCACAACAGCCTGCAAACCCTTTGAGGAGGACAAATGAAACTTCTTGGAAGCTGCGCGAGATCGTTCACGTAACAGAACTACAACAACTGACTTTCTTTGCCCCACTACACATATCTCACCAGCCAATTGCACACTCACAGACCTAAAAGATGAGATGACAGCACAAAGCATATGATATTCCCTCATTGCAAGTGATGGAGTATCAAATATGCAAAGTTTCTTTCTTAAAGATACCCGTTTATATATGTATGCAAATATCTGTTTTGGTTCATAAATAGGGACATTTTGGATAAAAATTTTCCATAGGTGATAAATAGTGAAGAGATGTATTTGTTAGTTATTTCAGTGAGTGTTTTATTTCATGACATGTTTCATTAAAAGTTTATATTTTGCTTTTGTGTTGAAGGGTTATTTTAAGATGTTTTCATTGCTGAAGGGATTGTTTTTATGATATGCAATACTCATTATTAGAGGACATTTTTTCATGTACTTTAATTTCTACATAATAGTCTACTTTTATTATGTAATAATATGTGATTTTAGTCAAAAGGAATTTTGTTTGTAGTGCTATTGTAATTGTTAGCTAGCTTCTTTTATAGTTAAGGCATAGTGTGTTACTGCCTCCTCCTAAAAGGGGTTAGTGAGCTATATAAATATTCTGTTTTAATGTATTATATTGTAAAGTTGTTTCTACTGGTTTGTGTATTAGTGTTGATGAGCAAGAAGCTTTTACTTGAACAAAAACGAGTTACCTAGATTTCATGAGTGACACACAATTAACGTTTGATCTATTTTTATAGTTTTAGAATTAGGGAATGCTAGGTCGATGTTAGTTTAACTTCCTTTCCTTTGGAGCTTATAGGGAAGGCTATCACTGAAAAGAGATTTATTAAAGTATATTCACATATTTTTTACCACAATTTGATACACTCATAATTTACCCTTGTTTTGTTTTGGTGCATTTTGTTCGCCTCTTTTCCGGTTTTTTTTGTTGTTGTTTTTTGTAAATACAGATTATTATTGTATATTTTTTGTTTATTGCTTCTTTCCTTGTCATTAATTCAGTATGAGTCCAAAGGGAGACAAAGACATATTCCATAATTTTATATTATTCAAACCTCCAGTTAGCGGGCACTACCTAACTATCTGGAATTCACTGCTGCAGAAATTATCACACAATTCATACTCCAAGTAGTCACGTGTCGTGTGAAATAATCAATTGAAGCGATAAGAAATGAGGAGTTCAGGTTACAGATAGAAATGTTCCACTATACATTTAGTGAGGTGTCTTTTGGAGCAATCATTTCAAACCTTATATTATAAGCACTCAACGTACAAATAAGAAGCCCATATGACAAACAGTATAGTTTAACTTGAAGTAGCTGAGACAGTAATATAGTAACTGATAGCGTCAAAGTCAATTTTTGAACGGACAACGCTTTCATGAAATCGTTAAAGCTTAACTTACTGCTGTAGTTTGTTCAATTCATTTTCATATTCAGAATAAGATTGCTACAAACTGTTTATCAATAATTAAAAGAGTAACATGTGTGCATGTGTGGAAAGATTCTTAAGCTATGAAAAAATGCAATAAGAGTAGGGAAGTAAGAACGACGTCACTATACGCGTAAGGGAGGGATTTCGTGTCAATAGTACTATGCATCGTAAAGGGAAAGGTTTTGGAGAAATGGATCTCTGATCCGTCAGAACCCTATCTCAGACAGCAGTGTTTATTTGTTAATGTTTTGTGTGTGAATTGCTTCATTTGTTTACAGGCACTTATAGTACCAGCACCCTGTTGAGTTGTATTACTTGCCCCATATACCCAGATTTCGAAAGCGTCTCTAGATTTGATGTCTTTCATCAGATAAACCCATTGGTTTGCCATTTTGGAACAGACCATTCGGCTCAATTTCTTTTTTCTTCCTTTTTTTTTTTGTAGTAGAAGTGTTTGCTAGGTCGTATGTATTGTGGAATAGGTTTAACTTCGCAGTCACTGACGCCTCATATGGCCACCAGATTCGTTCAGAACTCTACATAGCTAATCTCATACGTAAGTTGTCATGGCAGGTCACTTTGTTGAATTTGCTAGATGCAAAGAAGTAGAGTTTAAAAAATGGCTTAGATCTAAATCTGTGGACAAAGACTTTGAAAAATTTAGACAACTCATTTTGATTGAAGAATTTC